TCCTGGGAGACACACCTGCCTGGGAGAGCCCTCATCACCTCATCCTGGGCGGTCAGAGTCAGGAAGGGCCTCGGGTCACCGAGTACAACCCCTGTTCCGCAGCTGGGAAGACCAAGGCCTCAAGAGGAGAGGCCAGCAAGGCCGAGAGCTGGGCCCAGAATCCCGTTCTGTTCAAATCTAGTGTTCTTCCCATTCATCAGCTCAACGTTTATTGAGCACCTACCTGCCCAGGATCTACAGTCACAAACAAATTCAGCCTCTCTCCTCGAGGAGTTTGCGTCCTGGTGAGAGAGGCACAGCAAACAAATACAAAGGATGAAGGTAGATTTTGCCAGGACGGAAATAAACGGGATGCTGACGAGATCAGGAGAGAAGAGCTGGGTAGCCTCTGCACATGAAGCCCAGCGCTGGAGCAGTGGGGCCGTGGGGCTGGATGGAGGACAGCTGGCACTGCCCTGCCTTCGAAGCCCCCCTCTGAGTCTCCAAATGCTACCCCTCTGCTCTAAATGCTGAACCCCAGGCCCCACTTCCCTTAAAGAAGAAAGGAGCCGGGTGATCTGAGAGGAGGTGCTTGGACGCTGCACACTGGAACCCTCCTTCCAGCTCTGCCACTAACTTGCTGTGTGATCTGGGGTGAGGCACTTTGCTTCTAGAACCTCACTTTCCTCACTGGCAAAAATAAGGCAGCTGGCCTGGCGTTCAGAAACGCCTGTAGGACTTGTGACTCTTCACCCGTCTTTGTGCCTTCCTGAGGCACTATTTTAGAGATTCTCAACCATGTGTCTTCTCTGGGACAGGAAAGAGGCCTCTTATGGTTATTGGCATTTGCTGTGTCTGGAAGAAGGAAGGGGTGAGATCCTGCTTCATACATGCTATCATTTCCCCCCCTCAGAACTGGTTAAGACTTTTTTTTTTTGAGTTGGAGTTTCATTCTGTCACCCAGGCTGCAGTGCAGTGGCATGATCACCACTAACACAACCTCAAACTCCTGCCCTCGGGTGATTCTTCCACCTCAACCTTCCAAGTAGCTGGGACTACAGGTGTGCTTCACTATGCCTGGCTAGTTTTTTGATTTATTGAGAGACGAGGTCTTGCCATGCTGCCTAGGCTGGTCTCTAACCCCTGGGCTCAGGCAATCCTCTCACCTCCACCTCCCAAAGTGCTGGGATTACAGGCATGAGGCACTGCATATGATCCAAGCTAAGACTCATTTTCCATTTGACAAAATAAATCCTACTACTGTAAACTGTAAAGGACCGAAAAGATTTGTCTGGCAGCTTTCTCAGGTGGATTGCTGCGTCCAGCTCTCTTCCAAGCTGTTGTATGACGCGGGGCAGTTCCCTGTCCCTCTCGGGGCCTTGGTCTTCCCAAGTGTAGAAGAGAGTCAGTCAGTGTTCTCCGAAGTCCCTTCTCGGTCTGACCCCCTGGAATGCAATGAAGCAGGTTCCTTCCCAGGCCCACCAGTCGCGTGAAACCCTGGTGGCATTTCAGACGGCCCGAGCCGGCGGGAGGGCCACGCAGGGCCTGGGGGTGTCCACCGAAGGCCACGCCCGGTTTCCACTGCTCTCCGTCCAGGTGCCATTACAGCACGCTGGCCTTCTCGCTCCTGGCCCACGTCCTGGCGGCTCACACGGCTCAAGGCGACTACCAGCGCTGGGTCTCGGAGAACGTGCTGGAGCCGCTGGGGATGGCGGACACGGGCTTCGAGCTCACGCCGGCGGTGCGCGCTCGCCTGGCGGCGGGCTTCTACGGCAGCGGCCGGCCGGCGCCGCTCTACGACCTGGGCTGGTACCGCC